GTAGCCTTTCACCGGAGCCCCTCCGCTAAGGTGTACATGTACCGAGTTCGGCATCCCGTGGTAACTTCCACCAGCCGATACAAAAGCTATAGAGGGCTCCACACCCTGAAATAAAGCCGTTGCTTTCTCTTGCTGCTGCTGCAGCAGCAGCAACAGCAGAAGTGCCCCAGCGCTTAAGCAGATTCCCCCAGGCCTCCCGAGCAGCCAGAGATGGTAAAATTATGCATCTGGTTTTTGTGCGGCGTAAGAACCTGGTGGGATAAAACAATGACTCAAATAAAACCATAAAACAATACCTCAAATAAAACCGGCGGGAGCACTGCCTGCTAACTGCTGCAGCAGTGGGCTCTGCTTCGGCTGCGAACCCTTTTGTACTTCTGCAGCTTCTGATGCAACCTTTGTTGCTACTGCTGCTGTTGCCGGAACGGCGGGAGTGGGAATCTCCTGAAGTGACGGAGGGGTAAGAGGAAGGGACTCCGAGGCAAAAAGGCCCCGCCGTGTAGTGGCCTGAAATAATGCGGTACTTATAAAGAAGTATACAGAGGACGTAAAACAAAAGAATCCGAATAGATGCTCAGAAGGGACCGAAGAGACAGAGAGGTGAGGGGGACAACCACTGGCGAGGCACCAGAGAAGAAAACGGAAGCTCGGGAAAGGATAAATTGAGGAGCTAGGCCACTGCAAATACTACAATGAGTGCAGAATATTCGGAAATAAACAAAAAAGAAATGGATGGAATAGAAAAGTGGCGAAGCAGCAGATTGTGCTACACGCCGTATGGTTGCCGGGAACGGATTCCCCTGCTGCGTGAAGCAGCAACTCGCGTAACGAACAAACGAAGATGGTAACACCTGCACCAGGATCTGCAATATTAATAAAGCCACAGCAGCAAACATTCAAACTAAACAGGTAAAATGCTCTACAGGCAACAACATGGAGCTTTCATGTGTCAAGACGCAATCGCTCACCGGCTAAAATGACCCCCGAGGCTCTTCTCGGCGGCAGAAAACAGCCACCTAAGCGCTTGATGCTAAGCACAAAAATATATATGTAATTTAAAATACAGCAAATAAACAAAAGACAGACGGGGAAAACAAAGTCCCCACAGGTACCATATGACCGGCGGTGCGTGGGATGGCATGGTATACCAACCGGACCACTGTAATACACTGCCGTGACACCCACCGCTGACACGGCCTATGCCTAGCTGCCATATAACGCAACGGGAAGCTGGTATGCGAACTATCAGGAGGGAGTAACGTTGAGAATAATTATAGTGGGCAAATATTAGAAGGAAAATTGGTTGATTGGGATACTAAAACCTCTGACCGTGACCGATCACCCTCCCTCAAGGGTGGTCGGTCACTAGACCGTAGAACCGCAAGGGGGGTCTGCGTATGGGTCGCGGCGTCCTTGCCGTCCCTCTTACTTACGGCTTCGCCTCCGGAGGGAAGGCGGGTTCCCTATTCTATCAATTTGCCTACAGTTGACTGTCACTGTTCTCACTTTTACGTACAATTAGAGGCTTTCCGTCATTGTTTGCCCACTGACCGTCTCCGAGTCAGCATTGTAGTGCCAGTGCACTACAACCTCCCTCCGCGGTCGGAAATTTCTCGCCATCGGTCGGAAAACTCTCGTCTTCTCTTGAACTCCCTCACGTCCTCTCCCGAGGAGTCTTCGCTACGTTCTCCCTTTGCCTTCCGTACTCCTGGTTCTCCGTAATCCCGATCCTCCTTTCCCCAGCATTCGTGCCTCCCGATTCCGCCCCTGAGCTTCTCCGTCGCTTGCTGATGTTTGGAGTCTATTCTGCGGTTTCGGGATGGCATGAGGCGTAGGTGGTGCGACTGCCGATGGGCAGCGTGCCACCGCTCCCCCGTCCTGGCGAAAGGGGGTGTGGTCGGGAGGTTGGGGGGGATCGACGCTGTCGGTGGCGGCGAAAACACTCTGCGGATCCCGCTGCGCGCCCCGTGCGCGTTTATAATAGCGGCGCCAGGCACGGAGGATGGACGGACAGTTAGTGAGGTGTGCAGCCGGTTCCCAAGTCGCGCGGTCTTCGGGAGCTCCGCGCCACTTGACGAGGTACTGAGTGTCTGGGCCCGAACCGCGCTGATTAAGGATATAGTCGACTTCGTAGGAGTCCGTTGGGACTCCATCTGGACCTTGTACCGGCAGCCAGCCGACTGCGGCCTCCTTTGCTTGCATCAGCGGATCCCTGGGACGATCTGGCACAAGCTGCGACACATGGAAAACAGTGTGACAAGAATAGGTGGGGGGGAGCGCAATACGATAGGCAACGGCACCAATGCGTTCCAGTACAGGGAAGGGTCATCGGAAGCGGGGCTCCAACTTGGTGCACTGGTTGAGGGGGGGGAGATGGCGGCTGCTGATCCAGACTTTGTCGCCGGGTGTGTAGCGGACGTCGCGGCGGTGGGCGTCCGCATATTGCTTCTGCTGCCATTTGGCTTTCAGGATATGTCTTTGTGCCCTGTCACATAACTGCTGGAAGATTTTCGTCATGGGAGGGGTGAGAGTCGGAGCCAAATTTCCCACAACATCTAAGTCCGCTGCTGTGATCGGGTTTTGCCCGATCATGATCTCAAACGGAGAGAGCTCCGTCGACGAGTGACTCGTGGCGTTGTAGGCGAGTTCTAATGCCGGTAAGAGTCGCTCCCAGTCCCTCTCGTCAGTTTGTATATACATTCGGAGCATTTGCTCCAGAGTACGGTTTACCTTTCGGTTTGACCATCTGACAGCGGATGGTAGGATGAGGACATCGCAGGTTTTATGTGGAATCGTTGGCAGAGCTGCTGCCACAGTTGGGATTGGAAGCGAGGGTCACGGTCAGAAATGAGAACGTCGGGAAAGCCATGGTAACGAATTAACCGATCCGCAAGAAGTTCGATTGTGTCTGCTGTTGTGGCTGTCTTTTTGGTAGGGATAAATGGGCCATTTTACTGAGAGAATCGACGAGGACAAGGATACAGTCGTGGCCTCGCGGGGTGAGTGGTAAGTCCGTTATAAAAATCTAGGCTGACGTGGCTCCAGCGCCTAGACGGGACGAGGAGGGGCTGGAGGAGACCCGTTTGGCGTCGAGAGATAGCCTTCGATGCCCTACACTGAACACAAGACGCGACATAAGCAGCAGCGTAGGCCCGCATACCAGGCCAATAGTAGAGCTTACTAAGAGACATGAACGTCTTGCGTTCCCCGCGATGGCCCGCCGTTACGTGGTCGTGGGGGCGGTAAAGGATGTGTGAAAGGAATTCCGGCAAAGTTGGAGGGCAGATTCGCCATAGGCCATGGATGCAGACGTGTAGTTAAGGTCGGCAGAATTTGAAGCGGTAGCGTCTGCCCTGAAGCTGTTGAGGAAATTCCACCGAGTCCTGGCGGTCTGCCGCAAGAACGATATCGCGAAAGACGAGGCAGCGGTTGTAACCCTCCTCCCAGCGTTGGGGGGTCAGGAAGTCTGATACCGTGGGCGAATCCGGAACCGGCTCTGTGTACGCGGTGACGACCGGCTGCTCCGTGCTCGGCGGGGGGGGTGGGGAGGCCGGTGGGTTGGTCGTACGGTGGTGCGTTTCCAACGTAGCCTGGGGCAGGGCTGGCACCCGAGAGGACGAGCCGGGGGATGAGTTACGTCGAACGCGCGTTCGTTGGGAGCGAAGTCCAGCAATCGCCCGGAAGTCGATACGAGGTGAATTGCCCGAGGAGGAGCGGGTGGGATAGCGGGAGGTCTGGGGCGCGGGCGCTTCTCGAGAGTGGACGAGAGGGGCTAGGGGAGGATGGGACGTCTTGAGCGCCATTGGCTGGTGCTGCGGGTGTCTGGACATGGCATCTGCGACTGTGTTGTGGGCGCCTTGGAGGTACGTTATGGTGAGGTGTGGGACGTCCGCGAGAAAGTCCAGCCACCGTGCCCTGCGACCACGCAGTGGTTTGTGCGCATTAATCTGCTGCAGGTATGTCAATGCTTGGTGATCCGTGTACGCTGTGA